TTTCGAATAAAGGGATTGACAAAYTTTAACAAACTCTACTCAAATGTCATGYCGAGTCTGGGAATCGATYCCKAGACCCCAAAGATRAGAGGAGAGTGCATTACCGCTACGCCAACCTTCGAGGAACGAGGGCCCCAGTTTTGTTCGACACCCTAGCTAGGAATATACTGGGAATAGTCTCCGAATCGATCATGAGAGCCAAGTACGCTACCGCTAGGCCGACCTTCGACGGACGAGGGTCCCAGTTTTGTTGGATTCCCTAGCTGGGAATATACTGGGAATAGTCTCCGAATCGATCATGAGAGGAGAGTGCACTACCGCTAAGCCGACCTTCGAGAAACGAGAGCCCCAGTTTTGTTGYATACAGTACTGCTACCCCATACTTACATTTGAAAAACAAGAATGGATGTGTTACTAACCTTTTGGATTGGTGTGGCCCTACAGCAAAGAACCACCTGACAATGGGACGTAAGTTTAAGGAACTTGGCGCTAAGGGATTTTTCTAGAGCATACATTAATGTACGGCCATCRATGACAAGACCCAAGGGCTGATCAGTACGCTCATGGACCTCTTCGTGTACACTGGTTGATGTTGATCCACTKTTAACGCAGCAAACTGTAGTATCCAGCCTTAAATGAGCTAACCAAGAGAAGATCTGACTACTRCACTCATCCTAATGGCRCCAAACAAGCCATAGAGAGTAAAGAGTATTAGTACAATCACGTGACAGCAGGCTTTGAGCAGTTTTCGTATGAYTRTAAAAATCTCACGGCATGAACACGRTCGTGACACGGCAAGGYAATTCGCTAGTCCAATCACAATGCACGAGAATTCTAATACTCTCCATCCAATAAAATCCCCAAGGTCACGGAACTGCCAGACCAATCGCATTGGGCGAGAAAAAAATCAGCAAATTAAAATTCTAGAAAACATCACGGTCATGGCAAAACATGTCATGCGAAAACTGCTGAATTGGATAGCTAAACAGCAYAGTCATTTACTGTATAATGATTTCCCTGTTACTACTGTTATATGTTAAGTATAATACAAAATTCAATGAAAGACTGTTCATGAACGTAGCTCGTGGCACCCGAACTTGAACGCGAAACACAAAAATCCCGATATTATTATTTTTTGTCTGAAATGTTTAAGTCTACCTCGTTATGTTAGATGTAAAGTAGATTTTTACTGATCTCCTTACCCTTGACTTTGCATTCAAGATGATCTTTTCCATGTTGCTGTCAAGAAGCTTACAAGCGTAACCAACATTAACGGCCGTTTCCTGCAAAACAGAAATTAAGACCACTTTACCTTGGGCGTAATGTTTTACAATTTCAGATCACCTGTCGTTCTCTTGAGAATAAGATTGTTTGAATGAGTTGTATCCATATTTATGTGCCCTGTCAACATTGAAATAATACTCAAGGGAAYGACACGTGGTTTGTAATGGGAAAGCTACTTTGACCCTGTGTGAATTGAAGACTAAACTGGGGCTTGCTCTGGTTGAAAAAAAAATTGTATAATAAGACATAAGGCGTTAGCTGGTTAAGAGGTATGACTGTGTCGTGGGAAAAGTAGAATGAATAAGCGCAGCCTGTTGAGTCAGTGGAAACTCGAAAGTTCCATTCATTGTAAAAAATCTCAAATCTGAAACCTGACTTTTAAATGATAAGGTGGATCTTCTATGTAAAACATTACGAATTGACATCGGTCTCTGAACACGCCAATACCATGTCATGAGTCTTTCACAGTCACATGAAATTACCTGTTTGTCTCCAGTGAGCACCCAGACTTTAATTCCGGCTTTTCTGAGCTTAGCAATAGTTTCTGGTACGCCATCCTGTAGACGGTCCTCGATACCCGTAGCACCAAGAAGCTCCATGTTTTTCTCCAGTTCGTGTGCGGATTCTCGAAGGAGTTCCTCACGATGATGAAGAGCTGTTTCTGCCTTCCTGTGTCCTACTAGCCATGTCTGATATTCCTCTTCGGTCAGCTCCTTTACGTATAAAAAAAGAAAAATAGATTCACTGTTATTATAGACACCTGTTTTCATCCTGTTGCTATGGATCTTAAAGTCCCTTATTGTAATCAGCTTGAGCAGAATTTTCCCCATAAATCAAGATACTACTGCCGAGAGCCATTTAAATTGTCCTCCAACCTTACTGGCCCCCTCCACGTAAAACCTAACACAACAGGATCTAATCACCTAATATATAATTTGGCGGGAAATAATCATGTGACTTTAAATATGGCGGGAAATCATCACATGTATGTATATTAGTCCCTAGGGTTTACAGTACTTCATTGTAATACGTATTAGTCCCTAAGGCTTTATAGTATTCACTGTAAGTGAGTCATTAAACTGATGATGGACGATGGATATCGTCCGAAATATCTTACTCTTTTCTTATATAAACTTTTGGCCCAAAGAAACATATTCGCATCACATGACATTATGTGGCGGGAAATAATCATGTGATTTTAAACATGGCGGGAAATCATTAACCAGGAACATTTTGTGCGATTGGTGTGTTGGTGTGTACCAATACTTCGGGTGCAAATACGTGACTCAAAATCCCTTGAGATAGACAAAGAAACAACCACCATGTTGGTTGTTCAAAGAGAAGCTAACAAGGAATGCTTTGCTATAGTTAACCAACATGGTGGGTATGAAGTAACATACACCCCAAGAATTGTACCATTAACTTACCCTCCTGGCCATACATAGAGTTCGCAGCCCATCTCTAGCGTAGAGATTCAAATGGTTATCGGTATTCTCGGCTATTGATAGTCTTCTGCTCCCCTTTCCTCGGTTTTCTTCTCCTTCTGCTCCAGCATCTGTCTGATCATCACCTCCCTGATGGTGACCAAGCGATAGGCGCGGCATAACTGCTGAGTCAGCACCTTTACAGTACATAAGGATCTCACCATCACCTCGACGAACCACTACAGACATTCTCTTACGAGAAGAATCAAATGCTAACACATGTAGCACTTGGAAGTCGACTTGTCCTTCGTTGGGTATTAGTACCGTTACAGTACTAGGGCTACGAGATATGAGCTTAAAGCCATAAGAGTTTGCTATCTTGACTAAGGCTTCCTCGTCCGGGGATTCTGCCTCGTATAAAACATCCTCGATGTTAATTTTCTCTGACGCCTTATGACCCACACTACTATTATTCTTTGAATTGTCAGAACTGAATAAATAAGAGTCTTCCCTTTTGGGACTTAGCTTTGCGGGTGAAGGTACAAGTCCTTTGTTTACGAGGCCCTTATCTGATGTCTGGCTTCCGTCGACAAAAAGATTTGACGATACTTGTGGTTCTACATGTTCCATATTGGATCCTGAGCAAGCACCTGCTATACCTGAATTTCCCCCGTCTACATTGTTGATACCCTTCTGTACACTATTCACTGTTATGTGCTGTGCGTTGTCCGAATGATCATTCTCCTGAGAGTTTGGTGATGAAGATTGGCGTGAAACTACAACAGTGTTACATATGGCTAGAAGGATGAAGAACTCTCTTAGGTACGAAGATATTCGTCCTTCATACATGTTCGCTTTGCTTTCTGCTGCTATTGCCATTGCCAGTTTGGAGTCCCAGTGAACTCCTTGTGGCTCTTCCTAACCGGGAATAAAACAAGCAAATATTGAGTTTATGTGGTTTGCATGGTTTTGCCAGCAGATATGTGTTCCTATGTGCATGTCAGTCAAACACTGAAGCATATCTTACTCCCCATTGCAGTGGCATACCTTAGAGGGGTTCAATCAATTGGTACCCCTACACCCAATACCCCATGTACATATCCCCCTGTCCAGGAAGTCCTCAGCAAGGAAGGCTAAGAAAGTATCAGTTAAAAGTGATCTGGGAAAACATGTCTCCATACCAATAAACGTATGCATCCTGCATCTATTTGTAGGTTTGGTTATCATCTCATATCTATAGAAGCCCTACCATCCCATCAATTGGGTCACCACATGACTATAATATAAAAATATTCATCTATATATTGCAATACCTCTGCTTTTGGTTGCTCAACATAGAGTTCATCATCAGAGGCTTTGCTTAGCTGAGGACTGCGAGCATCTGTGTTGTCACCAACATCTGTGGTCAACAAAATTCAGGCTTGAGTATAATCTTGTACAACAGATACTAACATACATGTATCAGTAAACAATCAGGTGTTGTGGAAAATTTCACCATCAACTTTCAAATGACTTAGGATGTGTGCAACTTGTCCACAAAAATCCTGAATTTTTAGGTAAAACTGATTGCAACAGGTAAGACTGATTGCAACAGGTAAAACTGATTGCAACCATTTTTATGGATGAGAAACAATGCAATTGGTTAGCAGTTTATAGTCATGTAGGTTGGAAATCATCTCTCATCCCTGAATCTTAGTTTCTTGCAAGTTTGCATAAGTCATTCATCCATCCAATACAATTACAGTGCATCTACATTGCATTACAATAAAACCACCAAAAAACGAAAACAATGCTCTTAACTCATGGGAAATCCTTCCTACCTCCTGCAGTCTTTCTTTGGATAACTTTTCGTTCAGTGTGATGAAAGTTTGTTCCCCCAATAGTACATTTCCTGAAGACCATTTTGTTTTCTGTGAGTGTTCCAGTCTTGTCAGAGAAAACATATTTTATTTGACCCAAATCTTCATTGATATTTAGTGCACGACAGATGACTGGCTGGTCTGTCTCTTCACGATACAGCTCTCTGTCTTGTGATATTAAATAAACCTGACCTAGCTTGGCTATTTCAGCAGATACATATAGTGAGATTGGAATAAGAACCTGCAAGAAAATCACATAAAAATGATATCAAGACAATAATAATGAAAAAAAAAAAAGATAAATCAAGTTTTGATTCATGGAGTTTAAGAGGGAGGGGGTGTTTTTGCATATGTATGGGAGGGTGGGGGAAGCTTATAGAAAGCACGGTAAAAAAGTGTCTTTGCAAATAAGATTGATGAAGGGGTTATAAATATAACACTCATCTGATGAAACTAAGATTTTATTTTTTTGCAAATCAAGAAGACTGTATTTTTGCAATGTTTTATAACTTGAAAATTCAACTCCTCCTCCCCTTACTTCCCATCCCTCAAAAGAACTGGTTCATTACTTTAGATACCTGAAATATTATAATAAATGTCCAGAATCTGATAAATCCTTCCATTGCAGGATTTTTCTCTCCTCCTGGACTAAAATAGGAGTTAAAAAAGGCATTCTTTTGTGTCCATACTCCACAACCTTTACATGAAAAAGGGATAAATAAAGAATCAATATTTGTAGTTTTATAATGTGAGTGAGTGCAGTTGGGGGGGGAGGGGGATAGATGTCAATAGCACCTTAGCGCTGAAAATTGAAATGTTAAAATTAAAAACCAATACCAGCACTAGAAATAGCACCTTTACTTTAGTAACCCTACAAAGATTCATAATGTCAGGTGTTATATCGGCTGAGAGAACTTACGTTGAAAATTGACAAATTAATAGATGTTTGTAAGTCTTGGGGCAGTAGCATATGATTGTAGGCTACTAAAGTAAAGGTGTTCTTTCCTAGTGCTGGTATTGGTTTTTCACTCAATTTAAATTCAATTCAATTCCATGTTTTTGGCTGCCATTTTGGCAAAGGGTCTATAAGTTGTCTTTTGATCCAGCTATAGGTCATTATTATTTGGCACAAGTTGAGTTTGTTAGATGTAATGGTAGTGCACTCTAACTCCTTTTTAAAAATCCAATTCAATCTTTTATTTGTGTGTATGAACTGCATAGGATTGAGAGGACACACACCTTAGACATCTGCAAAAAGTTAATGTACAACCCAAAAAATTCCATCCATTAATTGATTAATCTTAATTATTCAAGTATACTCACCTACTCCACAGAGAAAGCATAAGCTGAATAAAATAACCACACAAGCAATAACATCCAAGTTGATGTCTCTCTCCACTTTACTGTGCTTGTAGCGTGGTCCACTATTGTTAAGCATAGCTTTAGTGTCATGACCTACAAAGTATCAAATGAATATTGGAGTCACTATGAGTGCCGTATAGGGTCCATTACTGTAATTGGAGATTGAGCATTAGAATGGTCAGAATTATAAAGGACAACGCAGCCATTGCTTCACTCTTGAAAGAGTTTTAGTCTTACCTGCATAGACAACAATTCCCTCAACCCATCTAGTATTGCGAACCACACATCCCCTTAAAAGTAAATTATGACTGTCTATAGAAAGCTTGTTTCCATCTTGTGATGATTCCCTGTATACATAAACAAACATCTGTCAATTATTACTGATAATGGAATCCTTCAGCAATGGAACACTCATAGTTAGCATAGCATGACATAATGGCATGTATTGCAGCAGACTTCCTACTACGTGTGAAAACTCTGATATACATTTTATTGGCAAAGATAAATAAGAATCAGGAGTTATTTACTCATTCTTCCAGATATTTCATTCAGGCAACAAAAAACTATATACTCACAAAGTTCCATGAAATCTGTAAATATGATTATTTGGTTCTTCACATTTGATTTTATAATCAAAATTCCTTGGTACAAATTTCTCAACCTGACAATAAACAGCAAGAAAGACACAAGTTATGCTTGGTATATTATTCATTTGTATATTTCTGACCAGCTAATGCATGTCAATCATCACTTGGCTGAATGTCGATCATTGGCCATCTATCAACCAACCTTTAGCAAATGACCAGCCAACAGAGTAACAAAGTGCTGCAAAGCCACTGTATTCTAAATTTTAAATTGTAAATTTAGTGATACTTAAAATGATTGCAACAACTGTTGGCTGATCAATGGTTGACCATTATCTGCTCATTTACCATCCATATGGGCCGCTAGTTGGCCATCCATGGACCATCTATTGACCAACAATTAGCCAACAGTGATTAAACTATTGCAAAGTCACTGTGTTTTCGAGAATTTAGTAACATTAAAAATGGTGAAAGCAACAGTATATTAAAACTATAAAACAAGCTTTTAATATTATGTTATGAGTAACTTCTCAGGCAATTGTCTCATAACGAGACTGGTGAAACTAACACTGTATATTGTAGCATTACCTTTGTTGAAAATAATTTTAAACAGTATTACCTTATTTAGTCCTTTAACTATTTCTCTTTGCTTCAAGTTGGTCTCCCCATCCAGATTAGCAGTTTCAATAAAACAAATTTCATGAGGAGCACTTGAGTTTAGCAGTAAAATATCAGCTGGTATCACTTCATTGATTGATAGTTTTACTATATCACCAACCACCATATCTTTCCACTTAGAAGGAACATATTGATCACTAGAACTGCGAAAAAACATTATAACATTATAAATGGTTTCCTTATTTGAGGGTTGTGTGGGAGTACCCTACATGTAACTGCTATTAACAAGATAAGACTCAACATTTATAACAGCTGGTCATTGCACAGTCTGGCCAGAAATGGAGCTTCTCCAGAGTCATACCCTTGCCTTGCCAGTCATTTTGACCAGTAGCATTGAGCCAGAAACAGGAAAAGATTTAAATTTCTCTCAAGCATTTGCCGTTTTGATGTTTACTTGTTACAACCACCAGAAGTGACTGATATAGAACCTCTAAAACCCAGGGCATAGACATGATGGTGCTAAACAGGGACAGCAGAGCAAGGGGGCTGGGGGGTTATAGCCCCCTTAATAATTTTGCTGCCATTTTGAATTTTTCGTAATATTTCCATAATTTTATTGCAAAAAAAATGTTCCCAATGTCCCTCAAAATGCTGTAAAAATCACATTTCCGAGAGTTGTGATTTCAAAATTTCCAGGGAGGGCTACCCCCCTAGTTGCCTCCCACCTTCCGCGGTTGACAGCCCCCCCCCCCTCCCAATACAAAATATGCTCCGTGGTCCCTGCTAAAACTAATAATTGATGGGTGATCATGACTGACCATTATTTTAAGCCCTTTATATATAAGAGGTCAGCATTGGACATTTCATGTTTTAAAAACCTTTATCAAACTCATGAATAATTCATGAGGAAAACACAACAGAAATCACGACCGTGAAGATTGTTGTAAATCTGATACAAAACTGTGTTCATTTGCATAAAGTTTAAGTTGGATTTCCTTGGCCAAATTCACTTTAATTTTGAAAATTTTAGTGAAACACAAAGGAACTAACCTAGACGTTTGACAAGTCATATACAGTATTCGTGTCCGTGTTGCATCAGATATAAAATCACTCGGCTACACCTCGTGGTTGTATATCTGAAACAACACAGCCACTCATACTGTATATATTACGAACAGGTTCCAGACAATAAAAATCCAAACATTACTAGCCCAGACATCTGTAAATTTGATAATTATATAAAGACCTGTATGCAAATTTAAGGGCAGTCCTAGATTAATCTCAAGCACTTAGATATAATTTCCCTTAACATTTTCTTTTAAAGCACAAATTTTTCCTGAATTTAGAGTGCTTTTGATCGGAGGACTGGGTGATTTGCCTATCATATCAAAATCAAGACACCTCTAGTATCGATCTTTTGAATATCAGATACTTTCTTTCTTTCTTTTTCATCTTTGATTGTTCTTAACACTTTAACTAATGGAATCATCCATTAAAAATTTATCGCCTCCATCACATCATTCAGAAGGAAAATTATAGTTAATATTTCATGGGTGGGAAAGATTTTAAAAAGCTTAATCAAAATGACTATGGCTTTAACTAAATGCTTTCGATACTGTATCTATCCTCTTTCTCTTTCCTTGCTGAATAAATAAATGTATGAAGAAGGAACTTAATAAAATGTATGTTTTATACAGCTGATATTTAAGCTTACCTGTCGTAAACCTTACAAACTGTATTGTTAACCTTCTTGTCAGAGTTATACCGTCTCCGATCCTCAAACAGATCTTTGATAGCTGTCACAGACAGCACAAAAATCAAAGGCAACATTGCAATTTCTCTTCCAAAAGCATTGATGGCCGGCATCCAGTTGAGACATACAATGAACAGAAAATAAATATTTGCAAATCTGTGAAATTGTTCAAATAAATTCTTGGGAAGAAACGTCCATATTGTATACTTGGTAGTCTTGATACGGTTGTCCTGGTTGTTCCTAAAGTGCGAGTTCTTGGATAATTCCTCATTCAGGAGATGTTTGGCCACAACGAGACGATAGTTTTCTTGGTGTTCCTCGTTCGTGTCTTCCATTTTTCAGCTGTTTTGTAAAGTATTATCGGGTTGAAGTTCGCAGGCAGACATTATATCTTGTCCAAGAGGACAATACTAAAAAATTTAGTACATTACTCGAAGAAAGAATCAAAAAATTCAAATAAAAACATCATTTGTACTATGAGTAAATAGAGACACAGAAAGGAAAAAGACTTCCTCTTCTGATCCCGTTGTGTATACTAACAATCTGGTTAACTTACGAATTACATTATTGGTTGAAAAATATTTCGGAACGTTCTCTACCAATCAGATTGATCGTAACATAAATAAAACTCCCATCAAGCTTCGCTGATCACGCAAATTCCGTCGGCCATTTTGAATCGTTGGTGAAATCTTGCCTTTTTATTTTACACTTTTATACAGATTATCAAGTCCAAAATGGGTCATAAAGAGTTTGGAAACCTTATCAAGTCCAAGAATATCATCTCCTATACTTTATCTCCGTTTGAGCAGCGTGCTTTTGCTGGCATTGGAAAGGGAGTTGGAAATTGGGTACGAAGAATGAGAACGAACTTGATGTACATGGCTCCTGGTTTTATTAGTCTTGTACTCATCTACAACTACTCCAAGGCCTACAATGATAAATTAAAAAGAAAGAATCCTAAGGATTATGAAAACGAGGAATGAATAACGTACAGCAGAACTTATGACAGTGTTTGGATTTTACAAGGATAATTTGCCATTTTGGATGTATCATATCAGAGTATTGCATAACGCGTAGCTGTAATGTATCTGGACCTGCCATGTGAATCAGTCACTTTGGATATTGCTCAAGATTGGAACTTTAAGTGTGTTGACTTTATGTTTATTCATTTTCTTTGTCTGTACTTTTGATTTACATGTAATACTGGCATGAAATATTTAAATTGAGCTTTATATGGTTTCAAAATTTATTGTAAAATTTTCTTCCAAAATTATATATTATTACATTATAACAAGTTGGAAAGCTCAAGAAAGATTACAGACACTGTTTGATAATTTGGTCATGCTCCTTTTTTCTCAAGATTATTTAATTGTTCATATTATCCATAATTTCTCGTAAAAAAATTCATCAATGATTCATTTGGATAAACTGATATTACTGTGAATGGTTTGAGAGGTACCTATTATTTTTAAGAAATAGAAAATATGCACATGCCATTACCAAGTACACAGGAATTGGCTAAACAATCAATTGTTGAGTGTTGCCAACCATCAAGTGCTTCATAATATTGCACTCAGCAAAGTGAACAAGCTTTTCATTTCTTCTTTTTAATACAAATTATAATAACCATTCCCTTGGGTATCTTGTATGATAAAGAAAATACGCAATGGCACAAAATACTGTTACAATTTATTACTTATTAACTGCCCATATGCCTGCTGGCGTGTAAGTCAGCAACAAAGGATAAATACTGTATGCACTCCTAAAGCACATGCATTGACCAATCAGAAAGCAAGATTCTTGACAATTATGATACACCATAACCTTGAAATGAGTTAGAAAAAAACTGCAATTAACTAATTACAATTGTTTCTATTGTACAAACAAAGTGTTGTAAATTTCATATTTTATCAAAAGGCAATGTCCATTCTAAAACCATTTTTCACTTGAAAGGCAGGTTCTTTAGTTATGATCTAAAATTGCTCTGTACTTACTTAAGACATATTCTCCATAAACAAAAGTGGATTTCATCTTTAAATTCTCATTAGCAGCTTCAACTGGGATAACAGTATTTTCCAATGGAATTGGTGTGACAACACAATCAAAGCTTGGTGCGTAAAACATAGCAACTGACATTCTATCCCTTGATGATGATGCTAGTACTCTGTGCGGAGCAGCCCTGTATGCACCTGAGGTCCATGATTCGAGTGCATCACCAATATTGATCACAAAGGTGTTTGGAATGGGTGGAACTTCTATCCATTCACAATTTTTTAGCTGTACTTGTAAGCCACCAACATCATCCTGCATGAGCACAGTTAGTACCCCATAATCTGTGTGTTCTTGTACTCCCCACTTGAAGTCGTCATTATGAATTGCATTCTTGTATGGTGGGTAATGGAACATTGCCAGCTGCACAAATGGTTCAGAGGTAAACTTCTCCTCAAAAAAATCTTTTCCAACACCTATAAATCAAAAGTGCATGCGTTGTTGAAATGTAGTAAAGTAACAGATCAACAGTGACAAACTTTAAATCCTTTAAAAGGTACAAATGATATACATATATGTGAATAAATTTGCTTTTAATCGGAGGAGCTTATAACCAGGGGAGGGGCTTATAACCAGGAATTTTTTGGTATATTGAGTATTAGTAACTTCAACTGTTTACCTAATCCAACTGCAACAGCACTCATTATAGTAGAGCCAAGAGTTATAGTCTTTTGGAAGTATTCCATGATAACGTTTTCGAAGTTTGGCAAATATTCCTTCTTGGGTAACGGGTTTGTGCCATTGAAGACAGATTCTGGGCGATTCTTAGGAAGGTTGATGTCTTGGAAGTAGTAAATGCCCTCTTTCCAATCTGATATTTTTGTCTCTGTCGATACTTCCTCCTCCATTCCAAAATATCCACGAAATGATCCCTCCTTTTTGCGTATCTCATCCTTTTGGTTTTGCGGAAGGCAAAAGAATTGCCACAGGCAATCAAAAAGGCCCTTTTGAAGGGTTGCCTTGATGTTGTGGTCAGAGACGTAGAAGAATCCATACTCTAAGCAAGCCGAAGCAATTTTTCTGACTACATTTTGATAACTGATTTCTCCCTTACTGGTTATCAGTGGAGAAATGTCAATCACAGGTATCTGGGCTGCATTCATTTGATAATAGAGTAGTCAATACTATACTGTATGAAAATAACTGCGTTTCTCAAGCATAATACACAGGAAGCCCAAGCGGTTAGCTAGGGGGAAGCGAGTGGTTTTGAATTTCATATGAAGTTATTACTTAATGTCTAGCATAATAAAATGAAGCTTACATTTTAAAGTTAAGAAAAGATAATTTGCTTTTGAATCTCATTTTGGTGTAAAAGCTATTTTGTCGGCATTTTGTGAGACTGCCGTGCATGGGTTTCCTGTGTCATCAACATCAAGAAGAGGCCAGAGGCCTATAAACTGACTTCAAGATGGCGGTTGTCTGTTGGTAAACACTTCCAAAAAATCTTATTCTGCTTCTAAAAGGACTCGAAAATGAAGGTTAGTACTCTTGATAAAATTTGTCGATCGTAAATGAAGTATCCGTTGGGTCTTATTTGGAAAATTATTTTCCTTTTGACAGCTTTAGGGTAATGTTTAGTTTTTAATGTGTCCTCACGTTTCCATAGTGAACGTCTGTAAATTAAAACTAAATAGAAATATCTCGAAAAAATAATTTCTTTCGGTTTGTGTGTGGATATAATGAATAAAAATAAGATAAATAACTTTTACATGGCTATTTTTTTGTGTGTGTGATTCTGTCTGTAGAATGAAACCAGTAGTATAGCCTGATCTAAGACTATCATTTATGCTTATTTTCCTATCAGAGAGTGTTCAGTATCCCCGAGAAAGCAACTGGTGGTGGAAATGTGAGATATTGCTGGCAACAGAGTCAAGGGTCTTACCTTGCTGTGGCTGGGTAAGTAGCCCTTGTCATAATATATTATTAATATATCTTTGGTACATGCACAAGCCAAGTCCCTTCCCCCCTGGGCTATTACAGTACATATATCTACCTTACCTTTACTCCCCCCCCCCCCCTCTCCCCCCTTTGAAGTCTGAGTTTTTACATGTGAACAGTCGTAAAGCTGGGGAGGTAATAGATAGGCTCATTACACAGTTATATTTATATATACTGTAATATTCAAGTCTACCTTGATCATCACATTGCTACCACTTCCCCCTCCCCCGTCCCTTAATAAGAGATTCAGATCTAGAAATATTTGATCTTGAAGTACACAATTTAACACTGATTATTCTTATGCTATTATATTTTATTATGTAGATCTACTAAAAACATCCCAATATATGACCGCCATGGCCAACAAGTTGATGAAATCATCCTTCCTGGGTTAGTGTTTATTAGCAAGAAATTACCACCATAGAGAAGGCTTTCAATATCTAGATTGTATAATAACTGGAGCTTATAGTACACTCAACAAAATTACCCGACTCCTATTGGTCGAGGGGAGTACAATTATAGCGTTAATTGTACTCCGTAGGAGTACTGAATTAAGTCGCTATGGCAACATGGCCAGAACAATGTCAAAACAATTATTTTCTGTCATTTTGTACTTAAAAACATATAAATAGAATTTTTAAGCCGTAAAGAACTAATCTTTTTTATGCATTTCAGTTGCGCGATGGACTGAAAATCGGCCGCCAAATAAACAAAGATGAACGGCGTCACTTCGCATTTTTTACTGAAATTTTGTTGAGTGAACTATAAACAAAAAATCGCATGATCTTCTCATACAATTTGGAATTAATAGACACTCCAAATGTTTTGAAAGTTCTTTAATTGCACTCGCCTAAAGGCTTGTGCAACTACAAGATCTTTCAAAACATTACTCGTGTTTATTAATTTCCAAATTGTACTCGAGATTGTGCGATTTCCTATACTAATTGTAATAATATTTAAATCTTGGAAGGTGTGATGCTGCAACGTTGGTATTTTAGTTGTTTACATGTCTACATGTATTTGTCTTGTAGTCTTTTATCCTTGAGGCAAGAAATCCTTGTAGGAAAGAATAATAGCTATCTTATTTTAAATACCTTATAATTTACAAAGAATATTACTGAATGAGTGAATGCTTTGAGTGGGGAAGTACAGGTGCTGCTAATGTGCTGCCTATCACTAATTTGATCATGGGTTCAATCCCCAGACTAACCAATATATTTGAGTAGAGTTGTTTGTTGGTTTTCTCCTGTGCCCTGCCCTGTGCCCTCTGCAAAAAATCAACTTCTAAATTATGATTTCAGGGTTCGTACGGGTCATGGAAGTCCTGGAAAGTCATGGAATTTCATATTTTCATTTTCCAGGCCTGGAAAGTCATGGAATTGTGTTCAGGGTCATGGAAAGTCATTGAAAACATTATTAAGAACAGTAAAAATGTTATGATTTATTCAGAGATGTTGCAATTATTATTTTTAGTTATTATTTAGTTTTTGATAAATATTGGTCGTGGAAAATAATGTAAAAGTCATGGAAAAGGTTATGGAAAGTCATGGAATTCAGAGACTTCAAAAGAGTATGAACCCTGAATTTCAATATATGATGAGTTCTACAGGCTTGTTAACAACTGGCTATTAAGTACATGTACTACCCTCATAAACAAGGATGATATGGTATTCTGTTGTTGTTTAAAAAAACAAACATTGAAATCTTGGTATTTCTATAAACCTCTTCTAGGTTGTGTACTGGTATTGCTTGGGATAAAGATGGAGACACACTTGCAATAATACAAGACAAAAATGGTTGGTATTAGTTATAGCAAGGACACTCAAAACATAAACATTCAACATTTCACCCAAATATTCTTCCATGCATCCATATTTATTCAGCCATCAATTTACATTATTCACACATCCATAATCCACTACCATACTACATGTAACTATATAATAATTTATTTATCTATCAAACCATCTTTTGCAATTACTGTACAATTATATGTCGTTTGAATGTTATCTGGCTAGTAAATGACATATAATTTGCATTATTTTGTCTCTTAAAGGAATTATTTTCTTGTGGGATTCCAATTCATTAAAGACTACACAACTGGAGAGTGGACTAAAGTATGTATTGATTAGTATTGTAGGATGCTTAATTCTTTTAAATTACGATAACAGCAAACCATTTTGTATTGCAGGGACACTCTTACTTTTTTACTCTGGTCAAAAGTTGGACCTCAATTGGCAATAGGTAGGAAGGCTTAGAGGTGCACATGAGTGTCAGTTTAATTAAGTTGAAATGAATTTTCTATTTACAGTAGTTTTAGCCTGCTAAGGAGAAGACGGAGCTAATTTTTTAGTTGTATCCATATTTGATATGTATCAACTCTTAAACAAAGAAATGATATTCAAGGAAATGACACATGTTACTGAAATAGGTAAACATTACACCCAAGGCAAAGAAATCTGTTTAACAGAGTCTACTGGAAAATGGTTGATCGCAAATAATATAATAGAATTCTAAATCAATCTAATCTTCTGTATGTGTACATAGCTCATTTAGTTCCTTTTTCATTTCGATTCCATAGGAACATCTAAGGGAAATCTTTTGATTTACAATCATCAGACATCAAGGTAATAATGCACCTGAAGTAATAGAATATAAGTTACTTTGGGAGCTCAGGGTACAGTTTCTGAGTTCAAGCATCAAAAACAAAGGAGCAAGCATAGCTAAGTTGGCTAGTGCACAGCCTTCAGAGCTTTAGGAGGTCCATAGTTGCAAACCTTATGATTTCCACATCTGTTTTGACCTGTCTCTGTTCTGTGTTGCTTTAGTAATACCCATAATAAAGTCTAATAGCCTTAGAGGGGGAAAAAAGGCACACCTACAAGTGCTTTATACATGAGCCCCTGGCTTGGAAGAATCAGGCATCTACTAACATGTTATCGAAGTAAAATAAATTAATGAAGTAACATGAAGTTTTTATCCATTTTCAGGAAAATTCCCATCCTTGGAAAACACACAAGAAAAATTATCTGTGGATGCTGGAATCAAGAGGTTGATAAAATATATTTGTTATTATTATTATCCCAGGGGGGGGGGGGGGTGGGGGGTGATACTCCCTTTGTTCAGGGGTGGTAGGGGTGATCGGCGCTCCTTTTAGGGTTGAAAATGTTCCGGCTCAGGTTCCGGCCAAAAGTCAATTACGTAACATAACTCAGTACTTTTTGGGGTCATTTATTATGGGCGTTATCCATGCTATGCCGCTGTTTACTTTACAATGATGCACTAAATATTTCTTTAATATGATCATTGTTATAATCTTATCATACGCTGTCCTGTCAATCATTAAACCGGCGTTGATAGCTGGGGTTAATAATAAATTACTGAAATAGAGCTGTACCTTTTAGGGTCTGAAATCAGGTTGGTTTTAAGAGCCTTTTTAATTTATGYGTACCGTTTAGGGGCCATTTTAAAAATCGGCCGCTGATCACCCCTACCACCTGAACAAAGGGAGTACCCCCCCCTCCCCCCGCGGGATTATTATTCAGAGGTGTGTGATTAAATAGTCTATCCATTATGATATACAGTAGCAGTATTAGTCAGAATGTTACGAGTAGGTTTGCTTTTCAAAGTTCTGTTACATTGGGTTTGGAAGGATCTTCTATCAATTATCTGGCACATACTGGTGCATCTTAGGAAATTTATTCTGACATGCCCTGCATGGAAATAAAATTTATATTTCAAGAATGCTAAATGGGATGCTGCAATAAGTCCTACAATTTGAAATGTGCATTTTTGGTAAGTGAAGCTAGACTGCCAGCAGAATCTGTGATGCTGCAATAAATATTTACTCTGTCGAATATTAATTTTTCTCTTAGAATTTATTGGCTCTTGGTGCAGAAGATAAATCAATAACTGTTAGCAGTGCCGACGGTGATACTATCAGACAGGTAAATACCATTAACTACTTTATATAATACAACATTTTGTGATTGAGTCGTAAACTAGTAACTATTAACAAAGCACAAACGATTAATGCCAGCTTTAAATATTATTTTTATTATAGGCCACTCTCCGTTCAGAGCCAGCAGAAATCCAGTTTAGTGAAATGAAGACTGATGAGAGGAGCTCTGTTGCAGAAGCTACTGTAAGAATTTTATTCATTACACATTTAGGGTCGATAATTATACTAAACAACCTACTTTGTATAGTAACTACATAATATAATGATGAAGATATGATAATTTAATACTTATATGGTGCAAATTCACATGTGAATATGATCAAATGCAGCGAACTACATGTCTACTAGAAAGAATAACTAAAGGTGCGATTTTCCTTCTTCAAATTTTTGTAATTTCCAGGTGAGCATGATAGTGGGCAAAAAGACATTGTATCTTTACAATCTGAATGACCCAGAAAATCCTATTGAACTAGCATTCCAAGTAAGTTTTTCTCAAATTATTTCCGGACTAGTGAAATAAATGTTCCATTCATTGTATTATAAATGTCTGAGATTTTTTTCATTTGAGTTTTGCGAATTCTGACTGCCATTTCAACTTCATTTCTTTCCTTGAATACATTTAATTCATTCCTACACTCATTCAATCATTCATGCATTTATTCATTCATCCATTCATCCTCTCTGTCCATCTATCCTTCCATCTATATATCCATCCATCCGTTTGTCCATCATCCATCCATTTGTTCATTAAATCATTCATCATCCACTCATTTATTTTCAGTTGTTCATTTTAATGCTTCATTTATTCATTGTTGTCTCATCTTTTCATTTTCTACTTCTCTGATAGATTCTTAGCTACATGCATAAATTCATACAAACTACAATAAGTGAAAATAAATAACTTCCATCTTCTTTATCAAATATCTTTTATCTCCAGGCTGCATTTATATATTTTTATATTTTTCAATATTCCTTTTCTTGCAGCAAAGATATGGTAACATCATTGCATACAGATGGTATGTACGAAATAAGAATAAAAATATACAATCTTACATTTCACCATATTCTCCCAGAAAGACATCAATATTTATTCTCTACTCCCTTGACATAGGGGAGAGGGAGGGGGAGGGGGGGTGTATAGAATGATTTGAGAGGGCACATTTTAGTACTTTATTCACAGATCTTGCTGGGAAGTGATCACTGAAGAGTTATGGATATTCTCTTGGACTACACTTTGTTATTTTACCATGACAACCATGTTGTATGGTATTAACAAATAGAAATTTTCTATGTCCTTGCAGAATTGAAATCACTTGTTTTCAATTGCAAAATCATTGCATCCTTCCTGCCCTATAAGATCTATCTTCTTCGCTTGTATTCATAAAAGCTAGATTCAGGAAAAACAGGCAGTAATATGGCTGCTTTGTAATACCCCTGTTTGACATCAATTAAGTTCATCGTGTTTTTTAAAATATCGTATAGGTTTGGAGATGGCTACATCATGATAGGCTTTTCCAATGGATTTTTTGTTGTTATCTCAACTCATATGAAAGAAATTGGTCAGGTGTGTTAATTGTTTGTTTATTCTTGTGTCTTAACTTCCTTCTTAGATTATGTCTGAACTTTGCTGCTTATACCTTACAGGAGTTATATCAAACCCGTGACCACAAGGACTTACTCACTGATATTGCTGTATCTACACAACTGAACAAAGCTGCTTCATGTGGAGATAACTGGTAAATTATTAGTAAGAGTACAAAGCAGGGGCCGTGGAGTACCCTAAAAAGGGAAGGGGGGGGGGGGGGGGAGATTAAAGATTGGACAATATAAGAGACTAGTATGGGAAAAGGAGAAAAGCGGGCCTACAAACACCGGCACTGGGAAAAGAGTCACTCATAATATTTAATTCTGCTCGATTGTAGTGGAATAATCTTTAAGGGTCTGATAAACACTTACTAGTTAATGTTCTTACTTGATATTTGCATGGGAAGTGTTATATTTCTACCAATTTTTATATAAGTCATTGATGTCATTTTACTCAACACTGCTCCATGGTAAGCTGATATAGAAATTCCTCTCTAACRTTAAGATCCATTATTTTTATGGTTAAATATGCATTCATTTTTTCTAATTATTAATTTGCAGCATCAAGATTCATGACCTTAATGAAATGAAGGAAATATATGCTATCATAACTGTTGAAGATGCTGGAGGTGAGAAAATTCTTGAACTTTTTCCCACATGGACTTACCTTGTATAATTAAAGTGACTGCCTTTCTATTGAACATTTAATTAGAGTCCACAAATTTGCACACACTCAAAAGCTGGTAAATTAGGACCATAGCAACCTTCAGAACATTATTAAAAAAGCCATTATCATAAACATTTTGAACTTCAAGCTGGGAAAATCCTCAAATTGCCTCACAATGGAACACAATTGTTTCAAATCCAAGTCGTCAAGTGGAGAGTAATTTTCAATTTTTTTAACTTCTCACCATTAAGCTTTCTAAAGGCTAGTATTATAATATTAGTATGTACATTTTTTGCTGAAACATGTCTTATTACTTACTGCCACTGCACATTTAATTTACCTTAAAACTTCCATTGTGTGACTGATACTATAACTACACATCTTGTTAATACCAACAGGTAATCTAGACAAGATCTCATGGACTGATGATGGTCAGTTGATTGCAGTCAGTACTCAAAAGGGTAAGAACAAAGACAAAGGAGCTGGTTGGACGAAACCTGATTAAACACTATCCACTGGATGAATCTTTTTGAGCAAATATACTTTATCCTGATGAGATCATTCAGTTGCACAAAGCTCTAAAAAGAGTTTAATATGCTTTATTTTTGTATTGGATAAATATTTGCTAAAAAGCACTTTTATCTGCTGGATAGTGCTTAATCTGGTGGATAACACATTTGGGCTTATAGAACCAGCTCCTGACTTTCAAACCTTGCATCATTTTTTCTAGAAAATGACAAGAAACTGTAATTAAACCAGCCTTTTTCTTGTAGGTGCTATTCACGTTTATCTGACCAAGTTACCCATCCTTGGAAATTCTTGCGGAACAAAAATGGCATATCTGACTTCACTGAGAGAGGTAAATATTCACATTCATGAAGCATGCAAAGTTCTAATCTCCTTTCCTCCCCTCTTCTCCAACTTTTACAGGGTTATGACAAGGGACCTATTACCTTGATTGATTCTGAATTTTTACACACATTGTTAATCCCTGATCCCCAAAATTTCAGCACACAAATCCTGAAATGTAATATCACTTTTCAATACCAGAAATAATTCTTAGATGCCTCAAGTCAATCATTTGATTCCAATCCCTCTTCTGAACTATTAATGTGGTGTTACAGACAAGGCGATAAATTGCAACAACGATTCTTTGTGCAACAATATTGCTCAAAAAATTGTTCTTGTGTAACATGGCGTGCAGTTATGATATTCTGTTGTGGCAACATGTTGCAGGTTTTTGAACAACCTTCAAAACTCACAACATTGTTACCAATTATTTGCTTTGCTGCCCACACATTGTTTCACGAGGCCAACTTTTAAAGTAACGATGTTGGCAAAAATTCTTTTCATGTAACATCACTTTTAAGTAACTGATACCTTATTTGATATGTTTTTTAAAGGTCACCATTTTCGACAGCATTGCTCAGGTATGTTTTAAGCTAGGAAATGTAATTTGCTGTTTTCTTTGCTTCTAGAATTTGAGCAGCCCCCCTGAATGCCCCACCTCTCTCCCCATAAAATAGCACTGTATTGGGCTTACAGGCATGATGTTGCTCCACTCCACTGCAACCCACCTTTCCCTACCCTACCCTACCCTAGGTACCCCACCCCACCTCATCCCACCCTACCCTACCCTTCCCTTGGCCTATATCATTGTCATGATAGTTTATTGAGTAAATCAAATAATAATGAGTACTAATGTTTCCTTATTTTTTCAGGAGCGTCCACTCAGTGTAGATATTGTCGTAGAGCCCACTTTCGTAGCTCTCGGTCCCTACCATCTGGCTGTGGGTATGAACAACAGGGCATGGTTCTATGATCTGAGTGACAAAGGTAAATATCCTTGGAGTGGGAAAAAATGGTAGATTCATTTTACGGGTACTGCATTATCTTGAAGTGAGAAGTATAGTGTACTCATTCGTAGGTCACTGTAGTCCAGAACTGGACCCACTTATTTCTGTTTATGTTTGTTCTGCAAATCAACACTCGTGGGCATGCAAAAATGCATGGGAAAACAAAACAATAAACACAATTGTAAAGAGTGGGTGCAGCTCTGGACCAAGGTCACTGTGCCCTTTACTCTTAGCTTGTTCAGGTCTTGTTTCTTGTTTGGTTAATGGATCTATTTTTGTTGTTTCGTTTCAGGCACAGAGCAGTTAAAGGACAGAGAGTACCTGGGTACTGTCACTAGTCTTCATCTCAATTCAGACTATGCAGCAGTTCTCTTTGAGAACAAAGTTCAGCTGCATTTGGTAAGAAACACAAACCTATAGAAATGATATTATATCCGACCTCATAAATAGCTGTTATTACAGTAGAGCCCACACTTCTCTACTTTTCTATAGCCCATAATGCTTTGCTTCATGGGGGGTAACCAATCAAAAAACTTCCCCAAAATGAAACGTTCTTCAACTCAATATATATACTATACCTGTTTTTGTCTGTACAATATTGATGATCAGTTTATTCTGAGATAATTTTGTGGGTACAGAACATCAAGAGGTTTGGAGTTACAGAAAATGCATGTGGCGTCAAAGCAGCTCGATCTGGGGGACAAAACAATTGAATCCAAATCTCCTGAGAATTGGAACCTATTGTTTTGTCCCCCAGATTGAGCTGCATTCCAAAGGGCGGCAAGGGGTCTATACTGCTCGCTCGAACAGCCAATCAGAATGCACGATTTCTTCCGAAGCCGGATTGGGGAAAAATGTGTTATTCTACTAACATAATTACTATCTAAGGTATTATTACAAGATGATATAGAATAGGCCATTTATTATCTGCTTGCCATCCCGCACTAGATCGAAGGTGAAAGCATGGATTCATCAGGTGAAAGAGAAACACGCCTTTTCCCAGATAAAGACAGCCAAGGGAGGATAACATGCTGTGCTCTGACTTCAGAGTTCCTCATTTTCGGGACAGACGTATGTACTATAATATTTTTATCTTATCCTTATAACTTATAACGGATACAAAATGGCGTGCAAGGGCGGATCCATGGATGGTGAAGGAGGGGAATAATTACCCCCCACCTGTGGTACTGGCGCGAGGAACCCTGAACCCTGTAACGGTCACCATTCTTTTCAAAATCCTGTATCCGTTCTTGGGCGTCGTGGGGGAAGGAAAGGCAAGAGCGAAGGAAAGATTTCCCTCTCCCTCTCCCACCCCTCCCCCCACCCTAAATCAGACAGTAAGCAACGCATCTTACTCATCGAATGAGTATGCTTGATGACTGCCAGGCGAAACTTTTGTGTGCGCTGGAATATTGAGAAGCAATTATCTTTTGAAACTAATAGAGCTTCTATGAAAAAGATGCATTCAAAGACTAACTTGCCGTTTTTATACTTTTTTATGCTTTAACTCCATTAATTCTAATTTATACCTTGAATGTATGTACAATTCCTAAATCTCTTATGAGTTTTTTCAATTGCGAGAAATTGTTTCTTCAAATTCTCAAGATAATTTGATTTTTACTAATTACTAACACGCTCCGTATATAAGTTCAATATACTAGTCTTCTTTAACCTTCAGTAAGGTCATAATATCATCTATAAGTGATGCTGCACTTAAAACGTTAGCAGCTTTTTTATTAGTAAAAGTATTATCTGTCAAAATGCGGTTTAATCAAAAAATGTAAGAATAAAATACCGAGTGCCTTACTTCGATATCGAGGCAGTTTTCGTATGCCGGATATTTCGGTACTTTCGATATCAACAGCGCAGAATTGCGTTCTATCCGTCTCTACGGTATATACATATTTGTCTCTTTCTTCGCCCATCTAAATACGGGACAAATAACACCATTGCATCAGGTCAAATTAGTTTTAGCTCGGTCATACCTCGTTTCTCGCTCAACGTTACTGGTTATTCCAGTTGGACATTGTCCGATATCCGGCCGTTATTTTATGCCCTGCTTAAACATTGAGACTTTCAGCTCTGTGTCTATTCTTTATGAACTTTATATGAACTCTTTAGAAATCTTTCACACAGCAGTTTTCAACTTATCCTACAGCTCTAAAACGATTACATAACACATTTTGCAATTTCCTTCTCAATTCAGGCATTCTGAATGAATAATTGGGGTTCTGCTTACTATTTTTTATTATTGAAACATAATCCATTATTATTTTTGGGAACCAAGTTCCTAGTGACACTACAGTCAATATAAAAAGCGTTTTGGTCAGTTTACTTTTCTCCTGGATTGTTCTGCAGAAACTTCGGTTCTTCCCTGTTCTCATTTTACAGCGTGAGAAGTTTATAGCTAGACTAGTTATAGACTTCTGCTGGCAGCAATGAATCAGGCTAGCTACATTGACAGCGGAAAATGTTCCATATTTCTTTTCTAAATTCCGGCATTCTGAATGAATACACGACCAGATTCAAAAAGGAATTGCTAACTTGCAATACCAAAAATACAGTGTAATATTCTGAATAAAAAAAGTCATAATAGAACATGTTTAAAACAACCATAAAATCTGTGATCATTTTTGGTAACCAAGTTCCCATCGACACTACAGTCACTATAAAAAGCGTTTTGGTCAGTTTACTGTTCTCCTGGATTGTTCTGCAGTGGCGAAACTTTGTGAAGAACTTCATTTTGATCCAAATAGAAAGATACGAGATGAATATTGTTAGTAGTGATATAACGCCCACCAGATAGACAGAGAACAGGTGCATAACCTTTTCCTCCCTTGTCGACTGAGGAACCAGTCCGTAGACATGCCCTAAAATTACCATAGTCGAAAGAATCCAAACCAGTCCAATAGCAGTGAAATAATGCCATCTTTTAGCGAGTCGATGGTGAAATGGCCAGAACACTGCAAGCACTCTTTCCACTGAAATAAGGCAAAGTGTGTAGACTGAGGCATTTACGGATGATAGAAAAGTTATCTTAATTGCATGGGAGTCGGGTAAATTGTACGGAGCTAGTATGCTCATAATTGAAAAAAAGAACATTGAAACTCCCACAAGTAAGTCAGCAAGAATCAGGTTCACTAGAAGATAGTTGGATTTCTTCACCCGAAATGTCTTTCTCAGGAACACTGCGAGTGCGATGGAGTTGCCAACTATAATAGCCAAGCACAGAGGAAAGATAGCCTCGAACCAAATCTTTCCAATACTACTTTGATGTTCAGTCGTGCTATTGTTAAGTAGAACAGAACGATTATCAGGCATTGTTGCTGCAAGGAGAAACTCAAACTGGTCTTCTTGGCTCAACTAAAGACGGTGTTTTATTGCAAGACCCAAGGCGATCCCTTTGAGAGACTTGACAAGCAATAAGTAATAACCCTGAGAAATCCTTTCGCCTTTATCAAACATGTATAATGAAAATCATATAATCATATTTCACAGCACCTGATTCCGCCATGGAGTGACACTCATTTTGATCAAATCTTATTGATTGATGACTTTATTAAACTGCTATCCCTCATTCTATAGTTTTAAAACTTTATGCTCTGGCTGTTTTCATTATTAGGATAAATGGTTCAATAACTAATATTACTATTCTAGAAAATCACAGAAGCTTTCATATTGACAGTGAGCTGAGATGAATCCAGAAGGCTAAACGACTGTGCACCTTCCCATTTCTTTTGAATTCGTTTTCCTTTTTTCCCATTTTCTTTCAATTAAATGAGAGTAACGTAATATTGCACTATACTAATATCTATTTATTTATTAGTTTCGCCATATATTAAACTGGAAATAAAATAACTGGAAAAAAATACTGTGATATATATGACAGGGTGACCGCAACAGCGTTAAGC